GACACCAGTGTCTACTCGCTACGGTGCATCTACCGAGAAGACAAGGAGAGGCTTACCGGATCTACGGTTACACACAGAGAGGTAATAACCGATTTTAACAAGAAGGACCCTCGATCTGGTTGCACATGGAAAGAAGGGAAGGGAAGTAGGGCGTACCAGTTCGATGCTCGTCACTGGCAAAGCGCCCGACGGAGACTTGGCGAAGGGCGCGCCGCTCACCCAGCCATCGCCGCAGAGTGACGCACCTGGTCAATGGAGGAGCCGCCACTCCAACCATAGCAAGACGGCAGAGATGAGCCAAGGATGAGGAAGGGGAAGTGGGAAGGGACAAGGAGGCGGAGGAGTTGGAAGAGGTGCACCGTGCACCTGGATCCGCGGCGCCGTTGTCGGAGTCGACGGCCACGGTGGCGCACGGTAGATTGGTGGTGGGGAACGAGGTGGGTCGATTCCAGGCCCCGCCACTAGCAAATGCATATTCAGCCCAGGAACTACCAAATGCAGATTCAGCCCAGGAGGAGTTGCTCTCCCCGACATGGACCTCATTCCACGGATGGCGTGGTTTGGGCTCCATTCAACGCTGATCCATGCGCTTCAAAACGTGGCCCAAGGATCCTGTATTTTACCGGGGGGAAATCGCGTCGGTATTTGTATTCCTGGTTTCGAAAGCCCTACACCCTCACTTTCAGCCCACAGCGCAATACAGGGGCCCAAGCGGACGCAGTCCACACTCCACAGTCCACACGGCCACACACACCGCAGCCCGCACGTGCGCGTCGTCCGACACTGCAAGCCTCGCCCGACCCACCGGCCACCCCTTCCGCTCCGTCTCCGCCGCCGCCCAGCCAGGTCATCATCCATCACGCCGCGCGCTCGGCTGCTTGCCAACCAGTTCGCTATGGCGCCTATGCCCGGGCGCCCCATTTCCCCATGGCTCTGCCACCGATGTCGCCAACCTTCTTCGGCGGCTGCAGCTCGGTTTGATCCGTTTAGCCAATCGTTTCTTGTGATCCTGTGGGATCCGAGCTGATTGATGTTGCGTCTAACGTCCATGTTCTTTACTGGGATCTCAGTTTTGATGCTGATGGACAGGCTGTTATATTTGTGAATTGGTCTATCGTTTATGTACTTGTAGGAAGGGATTGGCTGGCTACCAAAATTTACAGTGCCCAAAGCTTAGCAAGAAAAAGTTACCAAAACTTGGACAAAAATATTTGCCATAGATTTGACATGTCAATTGTGAGATGTTGGTAAATTTTGGTATCAAACAAGATGGTTGCCAAAACCTTGGCTTGCCTAAGTTTTGGCAACCAAATTTTGGCCATCAAACAATCAGGCCCGAATGTCCGTGCTGATTTGGTTTTTGTTTTCTGAATTCGCGAATTATTGATAGCCAGCAAACGAGCCTGTGCGATCCGGTGAACTTCCGATAAAGGCACCGAAGCCATCCGATGAGTGCAGCGCCCCAAACTCTTGAAAAACAGGCTCACCGGAGTCACTGTCTTGTGGGACCTCCGGCGACCGCACTGAACAACTCCGGTGAGTCCTTATAAAAATTCGTCTGCACCAGATATTAACGTGCGGCACTCTGGCGCACCGTCGGAATGCAAGGTGACCCCGACTTTAAAAAATGAGTAAAATGCACACCGGGTACTTAAACTATTGGGGCAGTACCATCTAGGTACTCGAACTGAAAAAGCTACCACCTGGGTACTTAAACTATGGGGGCATTACCATCTGGGTACTCGAACTAAAAAAACTCCCACTTGATTACTTAAATTATTGGGTCATTACCATGCAGAGGCGGCCTAACTGCAGCTTGCGTCAGCATAGAGTGAACAGAACAGCTTTTTGGAATTTTGATTTTTTTTTTTTATAAAATTTATGGATGAATAGTAATTAAATTTGTTATTTTTAAAAAATAATTAGAGCTCAAACATTCTAAAAATTTTTATTTTTTCCTCTATAGATGTACATCTACCTAGGCTACAAAAATATTTTAGAATGTTTGAGCTCTAATTATTTTTTATAAAAATAAAAATTAGCTCTATTCAATCCATTTTCGTAAAAATACTTCCATCAAAATTTATTTTTAAAATAAATAAATGTCACTGTTTAAAAATTGACTCTGCCCACCTTAATGCATGAACTGCATGGTAAATGGCCCAATAGTTTAAGTACCCAAGTTGGAGGTTTTTTAGTTCGAGTACCCAAATGGTAATGCCCCCATAATTTAAGTACCTAGGTGGTAGCTTTTTCAGTTCGAGTAACTAGATAGTACTGTCTCAATAGTTTAAGTACCCAGGGTGCATTTTACTCTTAAAAAATCACTCAAGTTAGTGCACTGTAGGCCACATCGGAGTACTCCGATGAGTGAAAACAGTACTGATGAGTGCTTATCCCTCCATCTTTCCCAAGCGTGTCAACTCCTAAATGTTTTGCCACACAACTAAGCACTGAGTTAGCATTTTTCAAAGTGTTTTTAGAAATATTTTCACTTTTTACTCACCACGCCACTAGTTTTAATGTAAATGCATGTAAATCAACACCTAGTGACACTAGATAACCGTTTCTGCTAGTTGAGCTCTTTTCTTAGTAGTACGACTATCTATCTTAAATCCGAACACACTCTATTGTGTCTTGGCTCATGAAAACAAAAAGAGTCCCTTTTGCCTCCGTGAATTACTGTTAGAATTCAGGTTTTTCATCTTGAACTCCAAAACAAGACAAACTACGGTGCTAAACTCTCAAAACCTATTAAATTATCCTCTTCCTAGGTTAGATGTGGTCTTCAAGGCGATTCCATTTTTTATCGAAAATAGATCTGGTAAACACCTCAAAGAAATTTTTAACCAATAAAAGTATATCTAAACATCTAAAAAAATCTAAGAAGGCCTTAGAAATAGATTGGGACATGAGAAACCCCAGAAAATATTTAGAGTTTGTAAAAAATATATCTAGAAGCTTCCAAAATTATATTGAATATAATTATAGAAAAATAGAAAAAAAATTCGCTAGGAAACCCCGGAGCATTCAATATATGTCTTGTTGTACTTTTGAAAACTTTCCACAATAAAAAAGGAAACATGATATAACTAGCATTAATGCTTTCAACATTAACGTATGTTACATTCATGCTGGTTGCATATCGGATTTTTGTAGTAGAAAGTTTTTTTTAAATACGTTTAGACATTGATTAGAACGTCTTGGGATTTTCTTAGTTTTTTATATATCTTTCCCATTTTTCTAGAGCTAAATGTAATTTAAATTCTATATTTTTGTTTGTTGTGTTTCAATCTATCCCTATAAATCTTCTCGTAAATTTTGGAAGCTAGAGATATTTTTCGTGGTTTAAAACCTTATTAGGTATTTTCTGATTTTTTATTTAAAAAAGAAGAATCAAACCGCCGTGAAAATCACTTTTAACTGCGATAGAGATACAATTTGAATGATTTTGAGAGTTTCGTTGATTTTAGAGTTTGTCGAAAATCTCTGGACTTCTTGGACGATAGTTCTGTTCATCCGGTCACGGAAATGGACCATTTCCACACATCGACCCGCAGCGAATCCCAGCCCAGCATACCACATTTCCCGGAGTGGACCATCGAGAGCAGAATCGTATGGGCCTGCAGTCCAGCCAGCATTCCGCACGTGGGCCCCACCAGCACACGCACATGCGGGGGCGGGGCGAACCGGCCAGCCTCCCCTCCCCACGGCCGCGGGCGCCCGCCTCGGCTTCCGTGCCTCGAGTTCCCGACTATACCGGGCGGGCCGACTCGTTCCCTCCAGAGTCCAGAGTCCAGACCCCTCTCCTCCTGCTCCCTGCTCCTCCTCCCAGGCCACCGCCAGCCGCATTTCTCTCCCCCGGCCCTCGTAGCGACCGTACGCCCGGCACCCGCGGGCGACGGGCGTGCTAGGGTTCGGCGCCGCGGGAGGGCTGCTGCTCGTCCGGAAGCGTGTTGTGCCGATCTGAGCCGACTGATTCAGGAAACCACCACGTACGGAACACAAAGCCATCGATCGTGCTGTAGATAGATTTTGTTAAGAGGGCGCAGGGCAGTGTGTTCGTCGTGTCCTTTGTCGCGATTTGGGGGACATCCATTTGTGCTGTATACCGAAATGTCGCCTTGTGTTGGCCTGCGTTTGCAAGAGGGAAATGCATTGTATATCAGTATATGACACTGACAGTTCATCTCGATTTGTTCTTGTTAGAGGGTGTCTTCTTGGGATGTTATAGGTAGTTTTATATATAATAATACAATTTCACATTCCAAGAAGAGTGCTCATCTACTATCATGATCTAATGTTTTGCTTTTATGTCTGTTGCTGGTGGCTACACAGAGTATGTCGATGAGAATACCATGATACCTCAGAATTCTATGGTGCTGGTCCACCGGATTGCTGGACGCTCGGCAGACGTGATCCAGATTGCTGGAAGTACAACAGACGCAATTACTGCATCGTATTGTTCCACTCCTCATCCCATAAATCTCCAAAATTTCATTTGTTGCTACTCTGCTTGCATGGAGGTATTTCTAGTATTCGTGAGTGAGGCAGCTTGGATCAAGGTTAATGCTGGGTGTACATCATTGGACAGGGTTCACATTTGGAGCTTGGTCTCGTGTTGATCATTATCTAGTTATTTTCTTGCAAAGAAATTCACATTTAAAATGCATGTGTTTCTGGTTCAGTCAAGATAGTTTTGTTTACATGATGGTGCACAGTTCAAACAGAAAATTGTAATGTCTCTTGTTCTTACTAGTGTACAAGGAATGTTTAAAATGTCAAAGAGGTTTGATGACCTTTTGAAAATTCTCTTAACCTTGCCCTAAACAAATGATTGTTTTGCCATTCTATAAAAAGTCTTTCTGATCTTCTCTATCCAATTAAATTTGTATCAAGGGAAAACCTTGTGTAGGAAATAACATACGGATACTTATCTATATTTCTGTGTAACTGAACTTGTATTTATGTTCAGGTCGATAATCTTAGAGAATGATGGGATGGCATCCAACAAGCCAGTTACTGAATCAATGCAGGAGTCAAGTGCATTTACAGGTACTGATAATGAAGAGATCACAGCAATTAGAAGTGTCATTGATGCAGCTGAGATTAAGTGGTAAGATATATATGTCCCCGGACCCTTTTGCGGTAGTAGCCTGGAAGAATTGAATTGATATTTCTGTATGTAAATACGTGCTGTAATATTGATTGATTTTGCCTACTTATGTAGGGGAGGTTCTTTATCTGGAGGTGGATATGATGGTGGACAGTTGGGCCGCCATTGTGGTAATTTACTAATGCATCCATATACTTTCCACTTTTGTTTTGACATTGCCTTGACATTTACTTATGATTAGTCACATTCAATGTTCGAGAGAATTAGTCACATTCAAGCCAATTACACTAGCCTGGTTTAAGTGCAGTACTCTCCTGATCTATTGTTCAATGTTGATAGGCTGGTATAGTATAGTTAAATAATATTGTTGCGAAACGGTTATGATTTGACTGAGAGAATTGTTATATGAGTGCCTTAGGAGTTTGTTCACATTTTGCATATTATGTTTTAAATTTTGCCGTATTTTTAATATATTTTCATGCATTCTCTGACTCTGAATATTTATTTGAAGGTCGTCCAATGGAAGGGGACGCACCCCCTCCTGGCTATGTTTGTCATCTTTGTTGTATTCCTGGACATTTAATTTGGCATTGCCCAGCAGGGAGGAAGCTGCCTCCACCAGGCTATATCTGCTGCAAATGTGGAGTCCAAGGGCACTTTATTCATTCTTGCCCAAACTATGGCAACAGGAAATATGATTCCAGAAGAACCAGTTCACTGATCCCCATTGTATCTAGCTTTGATGATGTCATCCCAGCAGAAATGGTCCAGGAAATGTCTAGCAGTGTTGGTGATAGTTTGCCAGCAGAACTCCACTGCCCACTGTGCAAGAAGGTCATGACAGATGCAATGTTGTCAAGCAAGTGCTGTTATGATAGTTTCTGTGATGCCCCGTTCGGCTGCCCTTAAACCCGGCTTGATCCGCTTCTTTTTTCACCCGGAACAGTGTTTCTCTCTCACAACATTTCATCTGGAACAGTGTTTTCATCCAAATTCATCCAGAATTCCTCCAAATGGATTTCATGTGTATCCTTGGAATCTTTATTGATAGTGGCAGTATAAGTTTTGGTGCTGCATGATAAATAACCCCAACCTACTTGTTTTTTGTCTTCAGGCATTCGGGACTACATTATTACTCAATCGAAGTGCCTTTGTGGTGTTGAAATACTTGCAGATGACCTAATTCCCAATCAAACCCTTAGAATTACAATCTCAAGCTTGTTATCATCAAGGGCTGGTGGCCTTTCAAGTGGCAGAGCGAATCTTGCAAGCTCCAATAGCAGCAATTTGGATGGCAAATCTGTCACCGCTTCCTCTTTGTTAAAAGGGGACACTAAGCACCATATGGATAGTGCACCATCGGCTACTACTGAAGGCAGTTGCCTGATAACTGCGGGCAAGAATCCAGTGGAGAAATCGACACATTCTGATCTCCATAGTAAAACTGAAGAGACTGAAAAAACATCAGTGAAGAAGACTCTTGCCACAGCAGGTGACATGAAAACCTTTCCTGAACCAAGATGCCAGAAACAGCCTCAACCTGATGGGGTAGCAATAGTTTCAGGGAAGCTTGAGCGAAAAGTGGTTAGGACTAAGTCAGAAAAGAAGCAAAAGAAGGCTGGGGCCACTGGAAATGGAAACACCAACTGTACTGAATATGGTTTCAACATTCCTTTTGAACCACCATGTTATGACTCTTTGTTTGGACTGGGAGGACAGCCTTGGGGAACCGATCCTTACATGTACTGTATGCCAAATATGCCTTGCTTCAGCTACCCTCTGGGCCCTTACAATGTCAATGGCATCAGTAACTTACCCACTGCACGGTCCTGGATTGCAAGGCTACCCAGCAAGCCATTACAGGTATGTAGAGTTGCAGGTCAATTGAGTTGAAATGGTAAATTCAGAGCAAACAGTTAATATCTACGTCCTAATCGCGGAAAGGATCCCTGCGATTAAAGATGTGCATGCAGCCCGTGGGCCAAAGGCCCGGCCCAAAGCACGGTTATTGGGCCCGACCCGAGCACGGCACGGCCCGAACCCTAACTAGGCCCATGCCGGCCCGAAGCCCGTAGCAGGCCGGGCTTGGGCTGAGGCCTCGGCCCGCCGGGCGGCACGGCACGGCCCGTTTTACAACGGCTGGCCTGGTGGAGGGCCGTTTTAATTTATTGAGCTGGTCGTACTATTTTTCTTTCTAGGGTTTTATCTCACGAGGTGTGAGTTTTACCTAAAATGGTTTTTAATGAGGCGGCATTGCATAAAAAGCTCAAATATTTTGTCATCTGGTGTTTCTGTGATTGTTAAATATGAATATGTGAACTGTGATTGTCTTTATTAAATATGGTGTGTACCGTGTAACGGGCTATGGGTCGGCCCGATGGACCAAGGGCATGCGGCTCAACGGGGCCGCACGGCCCGATATTCGCCCACACGGACCGTGCACGGCCATCCGGCGAGCACGGTGGATCGCTCGAGCACGGCGGCGTGGCGGGCGGGCCAAAGGGCCCGAGCCCGATCGTCTCGGCGTGCGCCCAAAGCCGGCCCGGCCGTCTTGCTGCAAAAGTCTGCGCCGGCCGCTGCTCATCTTTACCATGCGATCCCAAAGACCCCATGCCTCCACGGACCACTCTGTCTTTGCCGTCTGCTTTGTTGGTCAATTTTTTTGGTAATAACGAGAACTGTTGCCCATGTGGATTGGTCAGCCTGCGTGTGGGACCATGGTTTCTTGTGGCTGCCGTTCGTCCGGCCTGGCCTGCGATTCTCCGTTTGGCGCGTGCCCTGCGCTCAGCTTGTGGGCCGGCCGATTGTTTTCCCCTTTCGGCAAAAAAAAGGGGACGAAAAAAAAAACAGCTCGCTCCTCACACAAAAAGGAATGGGTTAATTAGATCATGCCGTTATAACTTCGTCGTTTTTGAAGCACGTCATTGCTATTCAACAAACTAGGTTACTGCTATTGTAATTCTGCAGATGATGACTTGGACCCACTGTCGGACGTACAGAGGGGTAACGTATATCCGTGTAGACAAGATTACCCCCTTACTCTTCTCTCTTACGCTCGCTGACACATGGAGCCCACTCGTCTGTCTTCCCCACCGTCTTCCTCCCTCTCTGTCTTCATCTCCGGCGGCGGCATGATAGCCCCCCCTCCTCCGTCTTCTCCATCTCCGATCGGCGCCAGATCATGACGACTTCAAAGACGCCCAGTGCTCTACCCGCTCGCTCTGGTCACTGGCGGTAAGGCGCGACCGCTTACCTGCTTCTCGCTTCGGCGGGCAAGTAGAAGCGACAAGCGATGTACCGTGATGCCCTACCCACGCGCCAGATCGCGACAAGGCAAAGAAGGCGCGGATGGCATCATCATGCGCTTCCCCGGCGGCAAAGACAGCTGCTCGCGACGCTTCGCCGCCTGGGCCTGGCAGCAAAGCAGCAGGCACCACACGCTTCGCCTCGGCGGTGGTGGCAGCATGGCGGCAATGCCGACGCCAAGACGCTGCCTTCGCCCGGCGTGGCAAAATTTACCACACACGCGCTTTGCCGCCATGCCATGGGGTTGGGCTAGAGTTTCTTGGCCGGGATTCGGGCGCCGCTTAGCCGCCGAATAGGCGGCGTCTTCGGTGGCGGCGCGGCGCTGGCCTTGGGCTCGCAATGGCGCTTGCCGCCTACAAGCGGGATCTTGGTGGAGGTGGGGTCGGGTCGAGCGAGCGCGGCCTAGCGGGCATGCGGCGGTCTTGTCAAAAATGCCTTGGCCGCCTTTGGGACGACGGCATGGCTCACCAAGCAACAAGGGAGTGGCGGAGGCCGGAGGCACGCCGCCGGCAAGGACGCAGATGTTTCATGCGCATGGCGTAGAGGGTGCGGCTCGAACGAGGAAGAAAGTGGATGGCGACTCCTTCATTCGCCGCTAGCCGTCTTTCGCCAGCAAAGAGTGGAGCTGCGTGGCCCTACTATCGCGCCATGGCATGGCCCTCGAATGGGAGATTTCGGTGGGAGGCGAGGAGCTCGCGTGGACTGTGTGGGCGGCGCGGCAGGGCGAAGCCGCCTCACCACCACATCCGCCGCCGCCCTCGGCTCAAGGCCACCTGTTAGCCAGCGGTGGGGCCGAGATCGCTCGCGCCACGCACCAGGGCGGAGGTCCTGTGGCTGCAGCTGGGCCGAGATCGCCCGTCTGCACGCCGGGGTAGAGCTCGCCCGCCCGCGTGCTACCCGTCCGTTGGCCTGTGCAGGTTAGCTGCAGGAGATGGAGGAAGGAGATGACGTGTGGACCCCGCATGTCATTGTGCTGGAGACAGGGGCAGCAGCAGGGGCCTTTTGGGTGTGTGGACCCAAAGGTGTTCAGAATGTATAAAGTGGCGTATTTCAAATGAACTACGAATAGTAATAGCATCGTTTCAATATGACCAATAGTAATAGTAATGATGTCTTTTCGATCCGTGAAAGTCGCGTCCTCTCTAGTCTCTCCAGCTTCCGCTCGCTTCCCAGGCGCCGCCGCGGGAACAAGGGGATCGGCCCCATGGTTCCTGACCTCGCCGGCGCTTCGTCAGCTGTTCGTCGCGCCTCGCTACAGCGCCTGGTGAGAGCCTGTTCTTCTTCCTCTGCTGCGCTCCCCTCGTGTTGCCTCCTCCTGCCTGCCTCAGCTGCGGCGCCGCGTTCTTCCCCGTACGGCTAGGGTTTCGTTCCCCGCTTTCCTGCATTTGCGTTCTTCCGTGCCTTCCGATTGCTTTCTACTAGCCTCAAATCAGGTGCTCCGGTACCTTCGTTCCTCTATTTTACTCTTCCTTCCCTGCTGTTTCTCTTCTCACCTGTACTGTCAGCTTACCTGCTTATCTCTCATCCACGTTTCCTCCACAGGTGCTGCCCGTGCCTGTCCGAGTCTCCTTTTCTGGTGGCCTCTGCTGTGTGCGTGCTACGCGTATGATTCGCGGTTGCAGACAGGTTCGTATTTATTCTTTCCCCCCTTCCCTTTCAGTTTGTTCCGCTGTACAGTCTGCTCAGTTCAAGCCTCTGCCTTTAGGGCACGTTTAGTTCGGAAACTTTTTTGTTTGGTTACGGTAGCACTTTCGTTTGTATTTGGTAATTAGTGTCTAATTATGTATTAATTAGGATCGAAAGTTTTGTCTCGTGATTTCTCATCCAACTGTATAGTTAGTTTTTTTTTCGTCTATATTTAATGCTCTATACATACGTCCAGAAATTCGATGTGATGAACAAAAACTAAATTTTTTTTGAACTAAACGCGCCCTTAAGTTACTCCCTCTCAGTTTGGTCCGCTCTACGTTTGGCTCAGCTGAAGCCTATGCTTTTACCTACTTGCCTTTTTTGTTGCCCACATCATGCGCAGCCGCACTGTACTGTCCAATCTTTGTATTGGCGTCTTGGGTCCATGGTTAGATTTGGTCTCTATGGCATGTCCTTTTCCAACAAGATTTTATCTCTGCACTTCGCCTATGATTGTTAGATATGCTGGCCTGCTCCAGGATAATGCCATTTATTTTCATGTGCCCATGTCTGCACATGCTGTGTTGTTATTCATTTATGCTGTGTTGTTATTCATTATTCTTGGTTCAGTACATTACACGTGCGTCTTCGTTCTCGCCATGCCGCCTAGACGGTCACGCCGCACTCGTGCGGCTCAGTCCGTCCCTGTTGATAGACGTCGCCCTCGCCGGGCACGACATGCTATGCGTGCGTCTGGTCCATCCGTTGGTGTCCATGGAATTGGTGCGTCCTTTATGCCTACTATGGTCCTGCCTGCTAACTTGCTGCGTTTAGTTTCAAAAAAATTTCTAACCAGTGCTACAGTAGCTATCACATCGAATCTTTGCATAGAGCATTAAATGTAGACGAAATAAAAACTAATTGCACAGTTTGGTTGGAAATCATGAGACGAACGTTTTGAACCTAATTAGTCTATGATTAAACACTAATTGTCAAATAAAAACGATATTACTACAGTAGTCAAATTCCTAAATTTTACGAACTAAAAAAAGCCTTAGATGTCCTTCCTCATTTTCATTCTTAATTCCATGTCGTCCAACTTTTGGGTGTTCGACCTGTCAAACAGGTGCTGCTGGGCGATCTATCCCAGAGTGGTCTGTTGTTCTCCGTTAGTACCCGCCCTTTATTCTCCTGTCGTATCCTTCTTTGCCTGTATGGTCACCTGTTCATGCTTTTTTTTGTTGCTCTGTTTTCCGTTCCCTTACCATAGGAGACCACTTCTGCCCCATAGTACCACGTTCTGAATCAAAAGTGAATCGGGCTTATAGGATGCGATGCAATAAAGTTAAGGCAGCTGCAAGGCAAGGTCTGCTCCTGTAGCCTTTTATGTGTTCCTTTGTTAGGCCTTGGCCTTGTTTAGATTGCCCTAAAGTTCTCAAGTTTTTTCACTCTCTCTTCATCACATTAATTTTTGGATGCATGCATGGAACATTAAATGTAGGTAAAATAAGTAACTAATTGCACAGTTTGGTTGTAAATCACGAGACGAATCTTTTGAGTCTAGTTAGTCCATAATCGGACAAGGTTTGTCAAATACAAACGAAACGTGCTACAGTGTCCAGATTGCAAAAAATTGCAATCTAAACAAGGCCCTTGTTTAGATTGCAAGTTTTTTCACTCTCTCTCCATCACATCAAATCTTTGGACACATGCATGGAGTATTAAATGTAGATAAAAAAAATAACTAATTACACAGTTTGATTGTAAATTACGAGACGAATCTTTTGAGCCTAGTTAGGCCATAATTAGACAATAATTGTCAAATACAAACGAAAGTATTACAATGCCAAATACTAATTCCTAACCCCAATGTAAAAAAGGGCTTACTCTTTTCCCCTACAAAGGCCCTGTATCATGTTTCCCCTTCCTGTAGATCGAATTTGTCGTCCTCCTTTCAC